GGTATAGTCCACCCAAACACATAGAAATCCTATTCCATGAGTGGAAGATCCAAACACTATTTGATATCACTTTATGTTGCATTACATGACTTTTTTTTAGTATGATTTAGTTGTGTTAAAATTGCTTGTACTAAGATGTAATGTACTTTTTAAAATGTCCTTCCTTGTTGACACTTTTATTTCATAATTTCGTTTCATTTAAATAACCTTTGTCATTCAACGCTGTGTACAGTGCCACAAATTGGCATATACATGACCAACTTTAGGGACTCTTATAAATTGTTGTACGTGTAAATGAGAAAACTAAAATTTCATATTGTAAATGGCCACCTTATGTCAACAATAATGCAACACTTAACTTTAATAGTAATATACTTATTTTATGTTTGGTAAATAAAGGTTTGCGGCAAGATGAGAGGGAGGGTAGGGTATTTTGGGGATGGCCATGCAAACTAAGTCCTATTTGGGGAATTTATGTTTTGGACTCCTATTTAGGTATATTTGATATGTTTTAGTCCTATTTAGGTTTTTTTTTCCTAAATTTATTAAGGGAGAAATACGAAAATAGCACTTTAATAGACTTATAATACTCAAAATAGCAGTGCTATTAGTTTTTGGGATGAATTCCTGTTTTTGTCCTTAAATAAACTCCCAAAATTAGAATTATACTGCAATGTATACTCTTCACTGTCACATTATAAATAAGTATGACATTCTCTGCTCTTCACTGCCACAATATGTTTGAGATTGAATTTAGTGCCCTAACACATACAACACTACCAAAAAAAGAGCAGAATTCATTTTAAGCCGTGACCTTTTATTTTTTATGGTAATTATACACTGCAATATATAGTCTCTACACTGCCACAATATGTACTTCCAAAAATTCAATGTCTGAAATACACTGCCACAATATATACACTGCCAAAAATTCAATGTCTGAAATACACTGCCAGAATATATACATTGTCACAATATATCTAAACTGCCACAAAACACAATAATTAAAACTAAAAATACAACGAAATCCGAATAAAAGGATGCAAGACAAAATTTAAACATTTAATCTTCACACTGCCCACACCATAACATCTAATCTTCACGCTGCCAAAATCACAATGCCTTTCAAAAGACCTAATTTTTCAAAAGGGACAAATACTTGGTATTTCAAAATTGATTTCACAACATACACCTAATCTTCAATACGAAGAAAACACAATAATTAATACTAAAAATACAGGGAAATCCGAATAAAAGGATGAAGGAATGAAAATTAAAAATTGAAGGAGAAGAGAAAATGATTAGCGACATCAAAGATTAGCATGGGAGAGAACCTGATGATTGCCGCTGCTGATCGGCCAAGGAATCGTGGGCGAAGGACTGAGGACGCATCATCGCCGGCGAACGGAAGGAGAGACCGTGGAGTTCAATAGCGTGCGGGAGAACGGAAGGAGAGATTGAAGTTGAATGCCGTAATTTTTAATGAAAAAAAAAGAAAAAGGTGTAAAGGGTATGATAGGAAAGGATTGACACCATAAATTGCTAAATTTGTTAAAAACAATTAGTAGTGCTAAATGCGTAATTTAGGATGAGTTAGGGGCTGTTTGTTTCAGCCTCTTAATGGTTCAGATGTCTGAATGGTTCAGCACTTAATGGTTCAGACTGTTTGTTTTGTGAGCAAATGTCTGAATGGTTCAGACATTTGCCTTTGAATGGTTAAGTATTTTACAGAATCTGAATGGTTAAGACCTCTTATCTGAATTGATCAGACATTTGCCTCTGAATAGTTAAGCAATATACTAGCTCTTAATGGTTCAAACCTCTTTCTGGTTCAGCACTTAATGGTTCAGACCTCTTACTGGTTCAGCACTTACCTATTTAGAAGTTGCCAAACAGCCCCTTAGAGTGCTATGTAGGGTGATTTCTTATTTATTAATTAATGCATGAAATTTACATTTATGTAATTTATGTAATTTCCAATTTAGAAACAAACCATTTTAATTATAGAATGTTATATTGATATTGATACACATCCCGATTAATTGTGATATCACGTTAAGGTTACGAATTTGTTTCCTTTTTGGAAATTATCTTTTCGTATAAATTATGATCCCGTCATATGCTTTGTTCGGGACATATTTACGAAATTGACGGTTGACGATATATTGTTCTCGACTTTTAAAACAACACACGTAAAACCAAAAATGGGTGTGTGGGCAACTTTGGACAAAATTGATGATGGTGTAGGTTCGTTCATGGTAAAAGTGCGAGCTGTAAGGGTTTATTGAACCACTGTGCATGATCGCACACCGGAATCTCTTGACGTCATCTTTCATGATCAACAGGTTTGTTAGTACTTTTTATCGATCCACATTTATTACATTTATCAAACAAATCATTGTTATAACAAAAATAATCATTTTTTGATCTACAGGGGAATCAGATTCATGCACAGATAAAAGATCCGAATTCGAAGAGCTAATTGAAGAAAATCAAGTTTATGGTTTAACCTGGTTCAAAGTTCAGCACAACTTCCAGAACACTAAGACAACCTCCCATCCTTTTATGATAGTGTTTTTTGGAGCAACCAAAATTTAAAAATTATCTTCGGACCTATTTCCAAATTTCCGATACAAATTCATGCCATTCGATGATATCAAATTACTGCCTTTGATGGACGACATTTTGTTGATTGGTGAGTATATTATATAATGTTTATATCAAAAAAATTTTATATGTCGGTTATACATTAAATAAAATAAATATTATATACTATTATTTTGATCTCAGATGTCATTGGAAAAGTTGTTAGTCGTACCATGCCAGAAGAACGCATGGTAAAATGTGCTCCCGAGAGGATGATGGAGGTTGTATTGGAAGACCATAGGTATTCATAAACATAAATGTATCATATTTGATGTTATTTTTTTTACAGCTTTCAACTATTAAAAACTTTATTCAATCTTTGTTCAGAGGTATCCGTCTAGATTGTACATTGTGGGCTCATCATATTGATAAAGTGATCGAGGGACTCAATGAAGGATTGACAAATCCACCAATTCTTTGTTTGCAGATGGTCAAACCTAGGCGATATAATGGTATCACTATTGTATATTTTTTTAACACTATTTCTTTTTATAAAATTCTTTCATGCCTAATGATTGCGATAATTAAAATCCAGGAAAAGTCTATGTTTCTACCTTTTATAATGTGAGTAAAGTTGCGCTTAATGAAGACTTAGACAAAGTTAAAGACTTCAGAAAATAGTAAGTTAATATTTTATTATTTTAATCATGCATATATATAATCAAAAAGATTTCTGCTTCCAGAGTACCAAATCATGAGCTCATTTTGAAGGTAGGCATCCCGATTATGTTACTAAGAAACATTGATCATTCGATGGGTTTGTGTAATGGTACTCGCTTGATAGTAACTTGGTTGGCTAATCACTCGATCAAAGGAAAGATTTTATCTGGAAGACACATGGGTCAAGAAGTTGTTATTCCAAGACTATCACTAACACCATCCGATGCAAGA